CAGCTACATGCTGTGAGCATGTTGGGTTGTTATCTAAGTATCCCGCTGCTGTTTAGGTGAAAGGGATGCAGCAGAGTTCACTACAGTCTGTTGGGATCTGTGGTTTCTCAGCTCTCATCCTCTGATCACTTACAGCTTCACTGAAACTCACGGCGGATTATTRGGGGGAAAACCACAAATTAGTTGCTCTTCAACCACATTAGCTCATGTGTGTCTGTGGCAAAGGCAGCAGAGGGAGGACAAGACAGGACGCAGGGACCTTACTTGTGCAATTCTAACACACAAGGCAGCTAATAATGATCACAACTGYAAAAACTATTCTGGTAGTAGGCTGATACTAAAGTTACTCATATGGTTCCAAAAAATACAACGCTGGCTTTCTCAAGGACCAGGATGTGTGACACAAAAAAAAAAATGAATTGTGGAACTGAAAGTGAAAGCAGTCAAACTGAATTTTTTAATAAACCAAATTACAGTTTCAAAGAAAATTAATTCAGATACAAAACCTTAAATTCAGTTTCAAATCATTAAATTCACTTTCAGTTCAGTAAAATTCATTTTCAAATCAATGTATTCAATTGCAAATTATGCAGATTCAATCTGAGCAATTCAAATTCAATTCCTGCTGGCACAAGATTTATACCATAACTTACAGCTTGCAAATGGACTGACCTGAGTAGGGCCGAGTCGAGACAACGGAAATGAGCCAATAAGGATAGACCCACACTGTGAAAACATAAAAAACRTAGTGGGAGAGAGAGGAGGAATTTTGCATTTGAATAAGAATTGGTATAATTTTTTAGCTTTTGATACTATGTTAATTTTGTCATTCATTATATAACATTTATGAAGACAAAAGGGCTGTCTTTTGTTGTTGGAATAATGTTTGCTAACACTGTCACTGCAAACAAAGCACAATTTCATGGTCTAAGAGACAAGACATTTTTCCTGAAGAAAAAAAAATAGTTATGGCATTGTTGTGTTAACTGTTCTGAATATACATTTGGTTAAAAAGAAAAAAAATGTTCCTATTGAAACAAAAAGCAGCAGGGACAGAAAGAGAGAGAAGGAGGTTATACTGTGTGGGGAAAAGAAACAGAACCCTGAAAAGCTTCGAATGAATCATCCGCTGGCGATTCTGCTTGGCTTGGGCTCATAGTGATTTTTCATTTTTACGTTGAGCTTACTACCCGTCACTGACACACCGAGGCAGGCCTGCAGTTTATGCATTCAACTGGATTTGTTAACACGCTGGAAATGTTAAGCCAGTGCAGCACTCTTCACTTCACTTGTGCTCTTGCTGTGATTATGTTAAACTGGCTTTCAGCCAAAGAATATTTTTGCTGTGTGGTGTATGGATCACTGACTATCACAAGCTCTCACGCAAAAGAAAAGTGTTAAGAGAGTTTAAAAAGAGCATCAAATAAACATGAGGCAAATTCTGTCCCATGTTGACATTAGAGTCCCTCTTGCTACATAGTTTTTGAGAGGTTTTATTTTGTGGACTTAGTTATTTCAATATATTAAGGTTTGGGGGTGGGGGACCTCCTGGCTGTGGCTGTTCATCATAGTCTCCTCCCCTCTGTCTGGTCTACTGTAGCCTGCTGACACTGATGGTTTCTAAGCAAGTATCTTTCTCTCCCTCTGTCATAATCACTGCTCTTTATGATCGGTTTGCCCTCTTTGCCCTTTCAAGATGCAGCATGTAATGAGGGCTCTGGAGGACTACGTAAGTGGGCTATTTAGCTATTCAGACAAGATCAGCTAATGCATCCCACGCTCTCGAACTCAACTCCCTACCAACACCTTTCAGCTGAGCACAGAGCTTGTTTGTCCTGGACGTAAGGTCACAAGACGGCTGGAGCCAGCACTGCATCCAACATCCAACGCTCATCTTCTGTACATTGATGAAATGATCAAAACAAACAGCTTACTGATAATAGAAACCTACTGATAATTATAAAAACTGGTTTTCAGAAATAGAAAGATATTTTTTCTTAATTAAAACTGATGGCTGGCTATCAGGCAAAAAGCTTTATTGATAGGTTATATAGGTGGAATTTCTTTACTTTCTATAGATTATTTTTCACAGTGTGTCCATTTGCAAACCATCATATTGCAAAAATTACATTTTCATGTTGATGCAACCAAAGTCCAAAACAAAAACCACAAATAAAACTATGTCTTATGCGCATGTTTAAAATGTCTTTCAGGATTCCAGCTTTTTTGCCCGATTTAGTTCTTCTTAAACCTCTTCACTTTCAGGGTGAGATCAAGAGGAGGGGGCTATCATTACTGGCAGCACTACGTATTACCCGTGGCTTGATAACCTGAGTATAGGCATTCTTAAAGCTGGACTGGTTTTTTTTTTGTTAGATGTCAGAACCTCCTGAGAAATTTCTAGTTAAGTCTCATCTAGTAACGTTTGAGACTTACTTGGATTCCTTCAGAGGTTCCTCTGTGCTCCAGGGATTTCCTTCTGCAAACACCTGTTGAAGACCCTTCTGTGATCTCCTCTGTTGTCATTCCTCTACGAATAAATTTGAGAAGTCCATTCAGCTGCTTAGACTTCAACCTGCTATCGCCTGCATGCTCACTCCTTCTCATCTCACCTGTAAGCTGGTAACTCACCAGTCCAAACATGGRACTTCACAGAATCTGATCTTCTCCCTGAATGCTGGAATCCTGAAGGTTCACGTTTCAGGTTTAACCTGCCTGTATAACTTTAGGCTTTACCTGAAGTTAACCTTATTAAACCTGAACCTTGGCTAAAGAATKACATGTCTATTTTTACTTTTATTTAAGATGTGTAGACTTTATTGATGTACTGCATTGATAAGGGATCAAATACACAGAACAAAGAGTGGGTGTCCCTATCGGCAGCATCCCCCCCCCCCACTTCTAACCTCTGTTTTATCATGTAACATACAAAGTTTAATTACAGTTCCTTGTTTTGAATTACGTTTAAATAAACAAGAATTAATCAAAAATCATTGCCACTTTATGGGTCTTTCTTCGTGGTAAAAAATAAAATCTAACGACTTGCATTGGTTTGTATTTAATTTTCTATGGAGACATGTTTGTTTCTGAATTTCAAAAACATTTTTTAACGCATCTTTATTACTTCTGTCAAGGAGGTTATGTGAAAGATAGCGTTGGTTTGTCTGAGTGTCTGCGCATTATTCTGAACAGATTTTCAAGAAATGTTGAGGGTGTCAAAAAGAACAAATAATTAGATTTTGGCAGTGATCTGATTCTCCTGCATGAGTGACCTTAGAGTCTTTGCGGGCGTGTGCACTCTGTGAGTGCTTCTAGTTTTAACAAAAAACTAGAAAAAAATGCATGTGAATTGTGAGTTAAAATGCTTTATATATTTAAAAAAGGGGAAACATGTAATGCATAAATTTTGCTTGTTTTCCATCCATCCATTATCTTAACCTGTTTTTTTCATTTTAGGGTCACAAGGTCACTGGTGCTCATGTCCAGCAGTGAAGGGCAGGTGCACCCTGGACAGGTCACAACTCTATCACAGGGCCACATGGAGACAAACAACCATTATTTTCTCGCTCACACCTAGGGACAATTTAGAGTTATCACTTAGCCTAAAACTCATATTTTTGGCCTGTGGGAGAAAACTGGAGGGCCTGGAGAAAACCCACACAGGCATTTTTCAAGGAGACTAACAAATACAATTATGACTTTTAAATTCTGTTGGGTAAAATTTACAGCTGAAGTTGAGGTTTTAGAACCATTTCAGAAACATGAGCGGCTGATTATTATCAGAGTGCTAATTACAGCCTGATTTACTTTTTTTAATTAGACAGGTGTAAAAATATGTGCATGTATGATTGTATATGGGTGCAGGGTTTTTGTCTTTTAATGAAGACAGGAAGTTCACCTGATTGTCTAATATCAACACCTGGTTTTAATTTTTGATTTCGCAGCTGTTACTGACTAAAAGTGTAAATACCTTTTTTTGGAACTAAAAWTTTGTATTATCTGCTTGTGGAATTATCTTAAATAAGAAGTGCACAATGAGATGTTTGGAAAATCCTTGTGGTTCAGTTTTTTTTAATAGGTTGCTTAGTGTTGAAGTGAATAAGAATTTAATGACCAATTTGAGCCTCTCGATGGCTGATGCCAATCCATAAAAAACAGGATTATCAATTTTGTTTTAGTGGCCAATAACCACAAAGGTTTGCTTTTTATACAAGTAGCAATCTAATCTAAAAAAAACAAAAAAAGTAAAAAAAAAAAAAACATGCAAAACCCAACAGTTATACAAGCTGGTTGGCATTCCATCCATCCATCATTATCTTCCGCTTTATCTGATCACAGGGGCAGCTTGAGCAGGGAAGCCCAGACCTCTCTTTCCCCAGTCACCTCTTCCTGGGAGGACTCCAAGGCGTTCCCAGGCCAGGCGAGAGACATAGTCTCTCCAGTGTGTCCTGGATCTTCCTGAGGGTCCCCTCCCAGTTGGAGATTGGCGGGCATTATTCATATATATAT